GAGAGAGAGAGAGAGAGAGAGAGAGAGAGAGAGAGAGAGAGAGAGAGAGAGAGAGAGAGAGAGAGAGAGGGGAGAGAGAGATGGAGGGTGAGAAAAAGAGAGAAGAAGGAGAGAGGGTGAATAGGCGAGAGCAGCGAGAGAGAGAGAGAGAGAGAGAGAGAGAGAGAGAGAGAGAGAGAGAGAGAGAGAGAGAGAGAGAGAGAGAGAGAGAGAGAGAGAGAGAGAGAGAGAGAGAGAGAGAGAGAGAGAGAAATATATATAGATAAATATAGAGAAAACATACATATGGCGATATTTAAGAACAATTCTACTTCGTTTGAGTTTTCACCATCTTGTTGATCAGACAAGCAATTCCTGAGAAACAACTTACGGTGTTTGTAAATATCGACACCACAAAAATTATCAGCAATCATACTTTGTATTTTTGCTATACTATAGATGAAATGCCATAGTATTCGAAAGTTGCAATCTAATACCATACCATTTCCTACACTCTCTCTCCCATGAAGAATTTCTTTTCTAGGAAATTCTGATTCCATTTATTGTAATTAGGCTAAATCTTTCACGGAATGAAGGGAAATTATTGCAGCTGATTGTTAAGAGATGTTTCTATTTGCGATTTAAATTTACACCTGATTACAACAAGGTTCAGAGTCAAACGTTTTCCAATTTACATTTGCGATATATTTTGTGTGTGAGTCTGTCTTCCTGGAAAGATGAAGTGAGGTCTTGTATACTGTATCCGTATGGTTGTAGTTAGAGAAGAGAGTGTTTGGGATAAAGCTATTTATGAAGTATTCATGAAGACAAATATAAAGCTATTTATGAAGACAAACACAAACACAGCAACGTGTATAAATAAAACAACACACTACCACAATCCGAATACAACTTTTGTCTTGATTTCTACTATTGCATCGCTCTCATCTCATTGCATGTTGGTTTGTTGTCAGAAGCTACAATATGATTCTTGATTATAAAGCCTTTATGATGAGAGGTTTAGTAGGTCCCTGTCAATAAATCTGAAGAGAAGTTATGGATGAAGTTTAAGATGGTTTTGGTCGTTGAGAAGTTATAGATGAAGTTTAAGATGGTTTTGGTCGTTGAGAAGTTATAGATGAAGTTTAAGATGGTTTTGGTGGCTTCCGAAGACCATCTTGGCCACTGTGCACTCAAGGGCATGCTTTAAAGGAGACGAGAGGGAAGGGGTAAGTGGTAAGGGGCTCTTTTATGCGGCGGTGAGTGAGCTTAACTGTTGGCAATTTGCTATTTATGCGCCCCTTCGCCGTCCATTTCTGTATAGCGTGGTTTATACTCGTTTTGCCATTTATGTTATTGTTTTTTGTTGTTTGTCTTGCTTCTTTGAATCAGTTACTTATGTTTTTTTATTGTTTG